AGTGATCCGAAAGTAAGGTCATTTACAACGCGAAGAGTTCCATGTCATCTGGAAGGCGAAGTGGAGCGACAAGTGCAAGAGATGTTAAAAGTCGATATTATTGAGGAAGCTGATAGCCCATACAACTCTCCAGTGCTGTTAGTAAAGAAAGCGAATGGGAAGTATAGATTCTGTGTTGATTTTCGACAGTTAAACAGTATGACAGAGTTAAGACCATGTGCCATTCCAACAGTGGTGAAAACTTTAGATCGCCTACAAGGCGCGAATGTGTTTTCGGTTTTCGATCTTCGCTCAGGATACTGGCAGATACCGATAAAACAAGGTGATAGAGATAAGACGGCATTCATCGTGGGTCAGACACAATATCGATTTAAACGCATGCCGTTTGGACTAGCAGGTGCACCGTTTACGTTCAGAAGACTGATGACGCTATTACTTGAGAACTTGAAAAACGTGGAGGTGTATGGTGATGATCTCGTCATATACAGTCAAAACGAAAACGATCATGTGAAGCATGTAGAAGCCGTGCTGCGACGCATCGAAGAGTTTGGACTGCGCGTCAACAAAACCAAGTCCCAGATAGCCAAAAAGAATGTTACTCTGTTGGGACATAAAGTGGGAAATGGTGAGATTAAACCACTACCGGAGAAAATTTTGACGATTAAAACGATTCCAGCCCCGAATTCAAAGAGAAAATTGAGGCAATTCTTGGGTAGAGCAGCGTTTTATAGTCGCTTCGTGAAGAACTTCAATGAGATAGCAGCCCCTCTATACAGGCTACTAGGTGAGCCAAAGTTTGTTTGGTCGGAAGAATCGCAGAGGACATTCGACAGAATTAAACAGCTGCTCGACCACCAACAAATGACGCTAAAACTACCTGTACCTGGAAGACAGTTCACAGTGTGCACAGATGCCAGTGACTACGCTATAGGTGCGGTCCTAAGACAGGGTGAGGGAATCGTTGAGTATGCCAGTAGGGTTTTGACACTCACAGAGAGAAAGTATTCAACGATAGAGAAAGAATGTTTAGCAATGGTATGGGCAGTCGACAAATGGAGACCTTATTTACTCGGCCGGCGGTTCCACATCGAAACTGATCATAAGCCGCTACAATTTTTGAAGACAGCGAGAGACCCACGGGGGAAGTTGTCACGGTGGATGTTGCGTCTTCAGGAGTACGATTTTACGATCTCACACGTTCCTGGAAGTGAAAATGTCTTGGCAGATTTGTTATCGAGACCAGAAGATGAGTCTGAGTTGCCCGAGGTCGCTTACGGAGTGCATGCAGTAGAACAAGACCCACTAAGACTTGCACGCAGGCAAAGGTTGGACGATACGCTGAATACAGTAATACAGGTGATCACCAACGGAATAGAAGTGGATCAAACTACGGCGAGTAAGGAGCTAACCACACTACTCAGACAGAGGGATCGACTCAGAGTGAATGCCTACGGGACTCTGACCTGGCGAGAGAACGACGGAAGCTGGCTGGCTGTCATACCTCAATCGTCGCGCCACGACATGATAGAAGAATGTCACCAGCTAGCGCATACAGGCGTGGCCAGAACGACCGACCTCCTAAGACAAAGTATGTACTGGCCAGGTATGAGAGAAGACGTAGCAAGATACGTACTTGGATGTCCACGGTGCCAGCTGATGAAAGGTGACCGGTGTATACGACCACCACTTCAGTCGATTCCAGTTACCGCGATAGGTGACTTGTGGTCCGTAGATGTCATGGGTCCATTTCCTCAGACATCCAATGGTAATCAGTACCTCTTGGTGATGACGGAACACGCGACACGATGGGTAGACGCCGTAGCAATCCCAGACCAACGTGCAAGAACCGTGACAGATGCAGTAGTTAGACACATTGTTGCAGACCACGGCGTACCGAAGACAATACTGACAGACCAAGGTCCCTGTTTCGAGAGTGAAGAGTTTACTTCCCGTTTGCAACAGCTGGGCATCAAGAGGATCAGAACGACCCCATACCATCCACAAACGAATGGCCTAACGGAGAGAAACAACCGTACACTGAAGGAGTGGCTGGCCTCGAAGGGCGGGAACTGGGAAACGGAGCTTCCACTGATTTTACTAACACATCGGGCTACCACTCAGGAAACAACGAAGAAGTCACCCTTCCAACTGATGTATGGTAGAAAACCACGATTACCGGTACACAATGAGACCTGGCCCATGCACCAAAAGTGGAGTACGACGAAATTAAAAGCAGAGAGGAAAGAGGCAGTCAAGAATGTAATACGGAAGCAGCGCAGTGATGTCACGAAGTCTCAGATGAAAGAAAGGACGCAGTGCATTAACTTTGCAGTCGGGGACCAAGTGAAGTGTAGAGACAGGAGATATACAGTTGGAGGCGGGCTAGGTTCACGGAAACTCCTTCCAAAGTGGGAAGGACCATACACAATCACAAAAAGACGGGGTCAAGTATATACCATCCGAAGAGGTGACAAACAGAAACGAGTTAACGCCAGTCAGCTCCAAAGATGGGTACAGTGGGACAAGCCGATCAGTAACAATCCTCAACTAGAGGATGTAGCACCCAGAAGGTCGGAACGTCTGCGTACGAAGCTATTTGACGGGGGAACGAGTGTGGTGAGAGCAGGCTGCTAGCCAATTGGTAGATATTAATCGACGCTGATTGGTAGATATTGATCTAGGCTGATTCAACAAACAATCACAGCAGACTTAAACGTGGGCAAATATGATTCGCAGATAAACGGCTCTACTTTCCGAGAAATATCGAAAACAACCAATCAGGAGACTGAGTGTGTCTTCCGAGAAACAACCAATTAGAAGACTGCCTTTTTCTGCTTGCATAAGCCTTATTAATGTACATAAAATATATATAAATACGCGTTGATTTTCGTTATAAAACGATCTGTTGCCTGGCCCTTGTCTTCTGTTGTTACAAACAACTTCGAATAATTTCCCTACAATCATCGAAGGTCTTCCAAACCTTTGACGTAGTATGCTCATAGCCTCGTCGTAGCCCTCTTTTGGCTTCATAAACTTACAACACTGTATAGCTCTTGCAGGAATTCCAGTGCAATACCTCATCAAATACATCAACTTCATTTCATCATTCAATAAAAAACCACTCAACATGATCTGAAACTCCTTTACAAATTGTAAATAATCAGCTGGGTTTCCATCGAAACACCGTGGTTCAAATTTAGGGAGCTTGATGTTCCTATTATCTCTGAACGGCGAAACAGTAACATCAACCATGTCATGCTTAACATCAGACACACCGTTACAATTAACAGACAAGTCACCATGACTTACTTTCCTGTTTGCATCCAAGACGCTCTGTCCCTTCTTTGACCCAGGCATTGTTGAACATGAACAAACTCCAAAATAGTTCCAGATATTGCTTGTTCAAAGAGGACTTGACCGGCACCAGGAAAGATGAACGGTGACTATCCAAACTTTCACCAACTGTCTGAATCCGCCGGAATCTGTTTCAACCTTCAGAAAACTGTCAGCCGCGCCTCGTAAACCGTCAATGCCCAGCTCTTGCTACGCTGGGACTCACGCTCTACCTTGAAGTTTCTCAGAGACGCTTAGTAATAACGGTGGCAAAACCAAAACACCGATTGGCTACTCGAGAATTCGTTATTGTAACACCAACATATAGGCAACTTAAACTAAGCTTTACAACTAAGGTCTGTCAACAAATATTACAATAATAAATCACAATATTACTTCTGACGGTTTATTGCTGACTTCTTTCTGAACAGCGATCGATGAGACGATGACTGGTGTATCGATGTCTCCCCGAAAATATAGGGAGGTTGGGTTTGAGCAAACAACCATGAATTGATCGTTCAATCTTCAACTACGTTGACACGCGGTAATGCACTTAGGTCAGAAGTCTTATGCGTCGTACTCCCTACGGGACGCAGAACCACCTGATGTTAACGAACAAAAAGACCTAGGAATCATTGTCAGCAATGATTTGAAGACAACTGCGAATTGCAATGCAGCTGCAGCTAAAGCTTTTTGAATGCTATGGGCAATTCGAAGGACTTTCAAACGATTAGACGAGGGCATGTTCCAAATACTCTACGCAACATATGTCAGGCCTCATCTAGAATACTGCATACAAGCGACGAGTACATGCTTCCAATAGGAGGCACATTTTCTGGAAAGAGTACAGAGAGTAGGAACAAAATTAGTTAGTGGTATCTCACACCTTCCTTATGATAAGATTTTTTAAATTTTTTTTAATTTTTGATTACAGCTTGATTCCACACTGTATTTTCGGTACAAGTATGGAATTTTCAGCGTGGATATCGGTAGCCCAAATTTCGCAGGCCGACCATAGATATCAGGTGTGCGTCGGCGTGGGCTCGAACCCCGGACCATATGCATGGTCGGCGAGAGTCCTAACCACTGTGCCACCGACGCACAGGATGGAGCATTTAAATCTCTTCCCGTTTTCATACCGAAGGAAGAGAGGCGACTTAATTTTAGCATGCCGTATACTTAAGGGTGATTTAGGAACTGACCTTTCTAACCTTTTCTCTCCTTCTAGGATACATTTATGGGGTCACCGCAAAAAGGTGCTCAAACAAAGGACGATTAAAATACGTGAAGAATTTAGATTCTCTCACAGAGTGGTCAACGATTGGAACTCCTTACCTGATTCAGTAGTATCAGCACCATCAAGGAATGCTTTCAAAGAGAAGTTAGATCTCTGCAGAGATATACTTTGCAAGGATTAACACAGGCCACAAGAGCCTTCTATCCTTATCATCTGAATCTGCAATCATTGGGGCTGCATATCGTCACAGAACATTGTAATGGTTCATTCAATGCCAGACAAGAATTTGGCTGCCCATTAAACCCGAAGGACTCTCAGTCTTAGAGCCTCATGTCCTAAAATTATGTAGTTGGATATCCAATAACCTGGAAATCGCACGCAGAGTGCACTAGCGCCTAATTGAAAGGTTGCGTTACTTGCGGATTACTCGATGCCTTCGCAGGTTTCGGTATTTCACATAATTCAAGCAACATTTGGTGGAAAATATTGTGCATTCAGGTTTTCCCGCCAAACTTTGTCTTAATTTAATCCGAGTAGCCCAATTATTACGACATACTAGCAGTTAACGTCGACTGTCGGTCTGGGCATTTTGCACGGTATTATACATAAATATCAGACTTTTGCTGATGAAGCAGTGTGATGCAGTGCAATTTTTTCATACTGTCCTCACTGTTGCATGTTAAGTATTATTAACTCAGCCTGAAAATTGTGTCCACACTAAATAGCATAGCTTTAAATTTGTGCAGTAGATAAATTATGACTAAATCTAGAGCTCTCAGGAATCAGAAATTTTTCGTGAGGAATTATGCGGTTGTCATGTGCATGAATTAATGGAAAAAACTCTACATCGTATACTTTTAGTTATTTATTAACTCAACCGAAATAAAAGATTAGATTTTCGGGACAATTTTATGGTCTTGGTTTTTTCGGGAAGAACAATGCATTTCCAAAAATGCTTCTGTTAAGTTGCCCAAAAAACAGTATAAAATTTCACCCTGAGAGTTTACATATGCCATTAAAATATTAATCTAAAAAATAAGCCTCTAGGTTTGTGAATATTAATAATATTCGAAAACCGTGATGATGAAATGAAACAGGTGGAGTAAGCGTCAGTGTTAAATGACTATCCTATAAAATCCATTAAGATCACGAAAAATCACTAGAAACAAAAGTAGTGAAAGAATTTAAGACATTTACAGGAGGGAAAGTTGAGACCTTGTAGAATTCTTAATAAAACCTGCAAACTCACTCAGTGACAAGCTTTTTAGGTTAAAGTATCCTATTGATCCAATTATGTAAAATGAAGTAGATTGCAAAATACCTCGCAATGACGGTTAGGTCAAATACATAGAGAACACCGGTAGATCTGGGTAGTCAGACTATGTGAACAAAAGAATTTAGCTAAATATGGAACGGTTGACACTGAGAAGGTAAGTAACCTTTAGAAAATTCAGCAATTGCGCTACATGCAATGGAGTGGGACGGAACGATGCTGGGGACATCACTCGTACCAAATTCCCATGAAACTTCATGAACTCTCTTACAAATTGCCGCACCTGGGCAGCGATGATTCGAGACGTTCATGAAGCCGGCTCATCCTCCCGTAGGAGATAGCCGAAGTAAAGTAAGTAAGTGGGACGGAATTACAATTCCGAAAAGTAATGCAAGCAGATTGGGGGAGATATAAGTATAAAACTTGAGCACTGTGGTAGAGTACAACTCCATTATGGATAAGATTTTATTTTGATAAGTTATAGTGTTACACAGTAGTATTACTGTATAACTGTGTGATTTGTCGAAATAAAATCTTATCCCTAATGGAGATGAAGGGAGAGGTTGATTACTGGATCTTTGTTCATCGAATCTACATCCAACACGTTCATTAGGAATGTCTCTTTACTAATACCAGAGATATAGAAAGTATTATTACCAATCAAATCAAGAGATGACAAATAGTGAGGTTACATAAAGGGAGTTTGGAAGTTTTATGAGTGCCTTTATATCAATATGAGCAATGAATTGTGGTCAAGACGTGATCAGTAAATAACGCTGTATCGCTGTTTGATTTTTATCGAGCAAAATTATCCTATCATAGAATTGTGCTCTGCTATAATGCCCAAGTTCTATTCTTATATGAATGAATAAAGGTTATGTAAAAATAAATATGAAAATGCTCTTGAAGTTCTAGGACAAAAATTTGATCATTTAAAACCTACGCAAAGATTATTTGGGTAGCTTGTATTGTTATAATCAGCTAAGTAGTTTTCACTTACATGTCCTCAAAATAATGATTACGCAAAGATATTCAGACTAACCAGCCCCTTCTTTAATAAATTGCTGAGACTTTTGTAATTGTTATCAAACATTGTGTTTTTTTACTTAAGTTTACCTGAGGAGGATTCGAAGCCAAATTCTAGTGTACGCTAATGATATAACAGTGAACAGGTCATCTGATAGCTTTTCAAATGGCAAATGAAACTGGGTTCAAACTCGTAATCTATTGATTAGAAGTTCAATGGTTAATCTAGTGAACTGCAGCTCTCAACCTGAGGCGGACCTGTCTTGTAGCATCGTCTTACAACTGGTAGAAGCAAAGCATATGCCAAATGTACCTAGTGTGTTTCAAAAGACCCTAGCTTTCAGTGTCTTCATTCGGATAAATAATTGTATCGTCTAATTGCTGTTTTCTTCTATCAAGTCAGTCGACCGGTTGTTAGTCATCAGTATGTCTACCATAACACTAAATAGGAATGGTGACTTGGAGGTGTCTTCGGTGGACAAAACTGGTTATTATCACTGCAGACGTCAATAACTGTCCATCAGCTCTTAAATGGAAACAAAACTCCAAGGAGAATACCTCGCTTATCTTGATATTCGCTTCGCATTTCGATATTGTCCTAACATATTTCGACAAAATGAACTTCTTTCTTTAGTTCAAGAAATATGGCAATTGTTTGATGCCGCGTAATATTTCTCTTCACCCCCCCCCACAACATGTAGAAACTTTATTAGTCAAGTTGATCTCCAAGCACAGAAGCGATTGAAATCACATAACTATCTCTGTGAGAAGTAAAATGCTGATATTATTTACCTAACAAATATGTCGAAAACAATGGTGGTCTTAATAATTTTAGTATTACCCAATGTGATTTTATGGTGAGCATTATCCTCTGTTGTTTGTCTGTTTTCGACACAGAACTTTGCACCCATATGCGGCAGTTGAAGTCGCCACATTCCATGTAACACACAAAGCAAGAGAAGAAAGTAGAAGAAATGAATAATAGAGACAGTAGACAGGGGAGTAAAACAAAGGAATAGTAATAAAGAAGAAGGATATAGTCTCATTGGAAGTCATAAGTCACAAAGAGTTTATGCATCTCCGCCAGCCATTGAGAACGATTTCGGGCCACATCACCAATTGCTTCCAGCCATTGGTTTTTACCGTCCTGAGGACCTCAACCAGTAGGGAAGTCTACACCTTCCTACATGGCCAGCTTAAACTAACCGTTGTGGATTTCTTCATTGACTGGTAAAGCCATGTTTTGGTTTGACCGCCGCTAGCTCTTTTCCATCCTAACCCTATGTCAGCTAACATTGCCCACTGTTGAGGAAGGCGATGACTAGGCTAGGTATGCGTAACACATGTCCTAATCGTCTCAGTCGATGTAATTTCACAGCCTCCTCTGTTGTCACTAGTATTTTCTTTAATGAAAGGTTAATACTCTCACTCATTTTATTTGGTCTTCTTTATTTATTTTTTCTGAAGGTACCTCATTTATCCAGTTGCTGAAAAGCATCGTGAACTGTTTATCTCACATCAATTGTCTTCCTTTCAATGGTATAATTATTTTAAAAAAACAACAAACAGTCAAAACATGTCAGCTGCAAAAATTTGTAGGTTACATCACCAGTTATTGTTTCATTTGTACAAAGTTTATTCTCTACATATTCTCCAGCGAACATTGTGTTCTAAACCAAGCTATAAAATTTCCACATTGTTTGATACGCATACAATGAATCAGCATATAACAAAGCATAAAATTTATTCTGTTCTCTCCCCACTAGGGGATTTCAATGTTTCAGTTGATGATTTTAGAAGTATGCGAAATAGCTTACATGCAAAACAGATCTCATCATTTTGGCCGTGTATTATAGACTATGCTATATCAAATAATTGTTTTGAATTAAGAAAATCACTAATCAGCTATATTCTATCAGATAAACATGTACATTCTAATATGACATTGATAAAAATGTTAAATTTATTAATTTATGAAGAACATTACGGTGATTTCAAAATGCTGTATGAGGAGCTGATCAGTCGATTAACTCCTATCGAGAAAAAAGTCTTTTATAATGATCTTGCCAAGTTATTAGCACGAACACCCTATTGGAGGGAATCACTGGAGCTTGTATCAACTTCAGAAATGAATGGATTCGATTATACAAAAGTTTATGAAATGATATGTCTGTCTGCTATAAAGTTTGATGCCATGTCTTCTGTTTTTGAATGCTTAAACCAATTGAGGTGCTGTCCAAAGGATGAGATATTTTTAAAATTCTTTGATAAATTATCAACAATAGAAGACAAAGAGGAGGTAGTTGGCTTTGTTGATCACCTGTTCCAATTAATGCATACTCACCGATGGATCATGTCCTCTGAGGTTGCTAAGTATATTGATGCATGGTTTTGTAGCTTGAAGGATAAACGTTGGATTGGGAATCTATCTGCGCATATCAGTAGTAGGTCAGTGTTATTTCTCTTCTCACTTGTGAATTATTAATATGACATCAATTTAAAAACAATCCAAAATCTTTTTAGAGGTTACTTATGCTCAGTATGTAATGGGGGTTTACCGCCAGCAGATATGTCACAGTTTCGTCTTTCAGAAATGGCGGATAAATTTTTTGAAACTGTAGTAAAGGTAACAGATAATTTTATACATTCATCACACTTTTGTTTTTTTAGGGAACAGATATTAGAAATTTATTTATGTCAGCGAAATCAGATGAAATCGATACATTGCATCGATTTCTTGATTCTCAAACAGAACCTTTAGATTGTATAATTGATTTTTTGAATCTGATGAATACTAGACGATTTCAGTTTACTGATTCATCAGGAATACTTGTTGCTGAGGTAATTTTCCTCTTGTTGTTGTTGTCATTATTGATCTATTTTGATTATTAAACTATTTAAGTATTGCATAGTTTAAAATGTCTAGTGGACTTGCGTCATAAATCCTAACCACACGATTGTTGTTTAAAACCTATACTAACTGATTCCAGTCTGGGTAACTGCTTATTTTTGTGATAAACTGTACCACTGGAGTTCGAGTACTTCGGTGTAAGAATAAAAGGCTTGGAACATGTAGTAATCCCTTTCTAACGGGTATCCTTGTGCGTTGAAGTTTCTGTTGCAGTTTTATTGGGTTTCCGGGGTAAGGTGGCTAGCCCCATGCCCAGCCCTCCTTCTTTTCGCGGGATTAAGACTAGCTTAAAAAATAACAAGTTACGAAACTAGCCGAGGTTTAACGGATATACGTCTTTATTCATTTTTGTATGTGTTCAACCTCTTTCATAAGCATGCACCGAGAAAATGAAAATCACTTCTCCCCTAATTTCCGCTGAGCCCAAATAGCTCAGTGGTAACGTCTCCGACTTCAGGCAGCACTGGGTGACGTGGTTTCAAATCTCAGAAGGGGCATGACTTGTGCGTCGGTGGCACATCGGTTAGGATCCTCGCCGACCGTGCACATGGTCCGAGGTTCAATCCCCGGCCGACGAACTCCTTTACCTCGCTAATTCAGTAGTAATAGCTGGTAAGGAGAAAAGATTGGGCATGAAGCTAGAAACCTCATCCTGTAAAAATAAACACTGCTACAGGAACTTGAAGCCATATGTTCCACTGGGAATGTGAAGGTATAAAAGAAACTTCTCCCCTGATTTTGTTCAGAATTAGTGACCTGATAGAAAAGCCACTTGGGCTCTATCAAAGTCTTGTCTTGGCTTTTGTTTATCCCTGCTATGTATTATTTCTTATTCTATATTGTAAAGGCGAAGAAGGACTCGTCGGATCGAAAGTCATTCCCTAACGTCCTGTATATCATGACTAAATTTCTATAAGATGATGACAAGTAAATAGATTTAGCCCTTCGGGCTATCCAAAGTAGAAATCTAAACTTTTTGGTATTACATACACTCAGTAAATAAAATTGTTTCCATGTACTTTCTGATCTTGTCAGTATGCAGTTTGTCACCTACAGAACTTTGATTTTCAGCGTAAGCTTTCGGCATAGTTACTGAGTGTGGGTTGATAAAGGATTTTGTTGCCTCTAGGAAAATTTAACTAAATTGTAGCCTTACGTTTCAATGTGCACAGTTTCTCATGTATTTTATTCGTTATCATCTTAGGCATACTTTCGTTAGCAAATTAAGTAGCTCTTACAATTGTAGGATTGTAGTAGTATAATATGGGACTGAGTGTTGCAATAGCTTTGCAGTACAGTGTTGGAGTGGTCTTGAGCCTAACACCAATGAGAATTGTTAACTGTTCACTTTACTATTTATTAACTACCTTTCTACCTCTCCTGAATATTGTTGTTACATTATTTTATATGATGCTCATGGTGTACAAAGGTGATGTAATCTGAATGGCTGACTATCGATTTTTGTAGACGACTTTTGTTGTTGGTGAAAATATTGGACAGTATCAATGAAGTGTAATAAATTGAAGTCATTGCGACTGTTGGTTTCAGTCACATGGGAACTGTAGACTATCTCAATGAAGTCCAATAGATCAGATACTAAGAATTATTGATGAGGCATTCTTTCCAAAAATGTTCAATAATGGTTATTCAGTCACTCGAGGTGTGCTGCGACTATGCATATTCGATCATCGCTGTCTCCTTAGAATTACTTGCAGTCGATGACATCATCGTGCAAGTAATCCTGAGATCCGGTGGCTTGTGTTTGAACACAGTGGAGGTCACCATTCATTGAGTATCGTCGTGTGGAAACACCGCCTCCGGCGGCTGGTAGATGTGCTGTGGATGTCATCGCAGAGGCTTCCGTACAGGGTCTCTGTTCGCCAACCCTGGGACGGAATTGAAAAGGCGGAGATGTGGTCAGTTCATGACGTGGCATCGTGGGATGACTTATATTTGTGGTAGGTTAGCATCTGTTGGTGCGTCGTGACTCCCTAGCTGGGGTCCGGAAGGTAGCTCGAATCGGTTGCTTGAAACGTTACCGGATATGGCCAATAATCGTGATCAGTGACGAACGTGTGACAGTTTCCTTCTTTCTTCCCTTCCTGACAATAATTCGACGAATCGAAAACATTTATTTCCCGATACGAATTTGAAACATGCAATAAAGGTTAATAAAGCAGGATGATTTAATGAAATCACCAAATTTCAGTAGAACTCTTTCTCAGCTGAATACTCTACATACACGGATATGTATATACTTTTGAAATTACATAGGGAGATATAAGACTGATAAACAAATAAACTACGTTAAATTAATCACGCAGAAAGACACTTGCGAATGTTTTCCAGATCATGTGCAAATAGATAAAGGGAGAGAGAGTATGAGAGATCAAAATTAAGATGAATTGCATTACACTTCAATTACACATCACTTAGATAAACAATTAGTCATCAGAGAATATAACACGAATTGCAAACAGAGTAATATCAGTAGTAATAGTTATAATAACAATAATAATAGTGTTGAAGTGAGTTAAGATAATCCTACTGATAAAGGATAGTTTTAAATGAATCAAGAATAATAATAAGAGGTGGAACAATAAGTAAAACTTATCACCATAGTAGATTCAGAGTGACGACCATCTCCTTTTGTACACAGAGATCTCGTTTATAAACTGGAATTTCAGAGGCCTCTGCGATTGCAAGCATCTTCCTGTTTGCTTGTCTGCTGACAGTAGTGAATGACTTGACAAGTCGAGTTTATAAACCAGGTCTCTGTGTACAAAAGGAGATGGTCGTCACTCTGAATCTACTATGGTGATAAGTTTTACTTATTGTTCCACCTCTTATTATTATTCTTGATTCATTTAAAACTATCCTTTATCAGTAGGATTATCTTAACTCACTTCAACACTATTATTATTGTTATTATAACTATTACTACTGATATTACTCTGTTTGCAATTCGTGTTATATTCTCTGATGACTAATTGTTTATCTAAGTGATGTGTAATTGAAGTGTAATGCAATTCATCTTAATTTTGATCTCTCATACTCTCTCTCCCTTTATCTATTTGCACATGATCTGGAAAACATTCGCAAGTGTCTTTCTGCGTGATTAATTTAACGTAGTTTATTTGTTTATCAGTCTTATATCTCCCTATGTAATTTCAAAAGTATATACATATCCGTGTATGTAGAGTATTCAGCTGAGAAAGAGTTCTACTGAAATTTGGTGATTTCATTAAATCATCCTGCTTTATTAACCTGCTTTGTCGCTTGTTTTAAAATCCACGAATGCTGTTTGGTCTTGTTGAACGCAACTGCTTTCTTCCCAGATAAAGTCCTTTATTCATTCTCTACCTATTTTTTCTCATGTTGTTTTATTATTATTGCATGGTACATCTTCTTGGTACCATATCTTACAGTGTTTTATGTTTCAAATAAAAATAGATTGCTGGCGTTCTCCATTGTGATTTTGTCACATTTTTTCTTTACTTCTCTGGAATGTGGCAAATTGCACAGTTGCACCATTATTTGTAAAGTTCTCCATGTTTAAGTCAATCATCCAGTCAGTGGTGTCCCTGTCTTATAGTTAAACGCTTTGCATTCACACTGTAGTAGCAATTAACTGTAACATATATACTTCAATTGTCACTACAGTATTTGAGTATCAGTTCTCTGTCTGGTTGTTTTCCACCAATGTCATACAGCCTAAATGAGCTTGCTATCATTCAAAGCAACTCAGTAAGTTAACATCTCATTCGAAGATCTGCCCCGCAATCCACTTCACTAGTTGACAAGTATGTCTTTATAAATATTTAGCTCACTGACTAAAGCACTTAAGTTTTGATCAGTGAATACTGGTTTCCAGTTCTGTCTGTATGTCTGTCTGTCTGGATTCAACATAGAACTTGGCACCGAAGTGCAGCACTTCGAGTTGCCACGTTCCAAATAGCACGCAAAGGTAGACAAGAAGATGAGTGAAGAGAATCAATAGAGTTTGACAGGTATAAGAGTGAAACGGAATGGTTAATGGTAGAAAGGAATATGAAAGATTACAGAGACTGAATACATCTGCGCCATTGACAACGATTTTGAGCCATGTCATCACCTGTTGTATCCAGCCATTGATTCCTAGAGTCATTTCAGGGGGCCCCAACCCGGGAGTCTGCATCTCCCTCCCTACCTGACTCAGTTTAACTGTCAAGGATTTCATGGATTGATGAGGCCATGTTTTTGTTTGGCCACCACTTACTCTTTTCCAACCTGCACCTATATCAGCTAGTAATGCCCGTGGGGGGAGGCGATGGTTAGGCATGCGCACCACGTGACCTAGCCATCTCAATCTATGTAACTTTATAGCCTCGTTGATTGATTTTCCCTCAATTCCCAACACTACGCCTAACGTCAACATTACTTACCTTATTAAACCACCTAACGTGAGATAGAGATCGCAGACATCTATGATCGAAAGCAGTCAACCTTTTGATGTCTTCAACGCGTATTGGCCATGTTTCAGAGCCATAGACAAGGACGGAGCGAACTGCTGAGCAGTACACACGTCCCTTGGTTGATAGCCAGCTGGATGTCACGCCTACGCCAGAGATGGTGTAAGTCAGCGAAAGCAGCTCGAGCTTTTCGGATCCGTGCTGAGACTTCATCGCCAATCAGTCCGTTGGTGCTAATACAATTTCCCAAATAGGTGAAGTGGTCAACATGTTCTATCTTCCAGTTACATTCCACAACCGATCATCAACGTGTACTCACTTTACCATGATGCTTAAATCGGGTAATAGTGTTGTATTTTTATTCAGTTTACCTGTTTTCCACAATGCGTTGGTGGTTCAATGATGGAATGCTCACCAGCCGTACAGGTGGTCAAGGTGGTGCGATGCCTGACGCACCGATGCACTCCTGATTTACCGGTCAATAGTTATTCCATATTAGTTTCTTTATAAGATGTATCACACAGTGAAGAAACAGTATTACGTACTGGATGACACAGTTTCGAACAAAATTTATTGTTCATAATCATTCCATCGATTATAATCACACGACTTTGAAACTTGAGTTTTATAGTTTTCTTTGTTCTCTCCTATTTGTCGTCGTTGGGGTAGTAGAATTTTCCAGATATCTGAGTGGACAGATGTCGAATCATTCCTATTACACGTATTTGCAGTTGATTCGATAAACAAAGCTTCCGTTGAAATCAATCTCTCCCATCACCCTGCTGTTACATTAGATTTTAAAACTGTCATCTTATCCCATCCATCCTATTGTTTGGTTGTGCGTAACTGCATGTGGTGCTATATGTGAACTATTCTCTAGATTTCTAATCTTATTATTGGGGTCAACCAATCTAGATTTCGCTAGGTTTTATGTTCGGCTAGTCCGACTGACTGTCGCTGTTCTACTACTTTGACCTATGTATTTGACCTGACAATCATTGAAGACGGGGTATTAGATAAATTAAATTGTCTTGTTTTAAAGGCTCCACAGGATTGGTTTCTTAACCGACAAAGCTTGTTTCTAATTGAGTTTGTGGGTGGTGTGAATGCCAGCCACTTTTATTTCTGCCTGTCTTGTTAAGAATTCTGAGAAGGGTTTCGGAGGTTCCTTTCTTGTATGGAATTACTACTGATGATTTAGATTCCTTATTGTTGGTGTTGTTTAGAGAATAGTTCAGATATAGCACTCACTACATGCAATTACACACAACCACACAGTAGGATGGGATAGGATGACAGTTTTAATATCTAATGTCACAGGGTGGAGGGAGAAATTGGTAACAGAAGCTTTGTTTATCGAACCAACTGTAAAGACGTGTAATAGGAATGATTCAACAACTGTCCAGTCGGATATCTGGAAAATTCTACTACCTCAACGACGACAAATAGGAGAGGACAAAAAACTATAAAACTCAATTTCGAAACTGTGTCATCCAGTAAATAATACTGTTTCAACCATTGTGTGATACATCTAATAAACAAACTAATATGGAATTACTTGCTACCACAGTGCCCAAGTTTCACACACATTAACAGTCAATAGTTAGCCATGGAAAGAGGCAGGGTTGGGCGTTAGGCTAACAACTCTTCTAGCTTGTAAAAGCGACAGTAACGCTACTAAAACTTCAAAGCTTGAGTTCTTATATCTCACTCTGTAAGCAAAGAATGTAAACAAAAGACCTTCCACTATGTCTCAGTACCTCATTTTCGTGAATTACTTAAATATATAGGGTCTTAATTGCTTTCTCTAGAAGCTGTGTGGAGGTCTGGTTCATTGGGTTAATTAATCACTCTGTTTCAGCTGATGGGTCCCGCGTCGGACTCGCCATCTATCTACTTCAAACTGGTTGACAACTTGGTAGTATCATTAGCCCTGATACAATGGAATGTGACTTTCAACCTGATACATGAAAAGTCTGTTCTGGGTAATCGATTTTTCTAGAAGCACTCTTGTTAGACTTATGAGCAGGCAGGTGGTAATAAGCTTTCAGAAAAAAAAAACTTTTCTTTCAAAATCTCTCCGTTTTAGGTGCTGAGACAAATCAACAAAGATTTCAACCTGAGACGATTTTGTTTGGTCAGTAAAGGGAATACAATTCTGCGCAGACCAGGATTTTGGAATCCGATCAAAATTTTAGGCAATCAGTTAGGCATATCTGTTCATAAGTTTTGTACAAATGCTAAGTAAGTCTGTACGTATATTTACGGCTGCTTTACTTTGATTTTGAGAGAATTTTAGTGTGTAGGGAGATAGTCACTTACTCATGTTTGTCACTATATTTCTTTCACTGTCTGTCTGTCTGCTTTCGACATAAAACTTTGCACCGATGAGCACCAGTTCAAGTCGCCACACTCCCTCCATGTAGCACACACAAGAGAAGAAATGCATAATAGATACAGTAGACAGGAATATGAGACAAAGGAATAGTAATAACGAAGAACGATGTGGTTTCATTTGAAACCATAAGTTACAAGGAGTGGATACATCTCCACCATTCATTGAGAACGATTTTGAGCCGTATCACCCACTGTCTTCAGCCTTCATTGGTTTCTGCCGTCCCAAGGACCCCAACCAGTCAGGAAGTGTACACCTTCCTACGTAGCTTAAACCAACTGTTGTGAAATTCATTGACTGGTGCCATGTTTTGGTTTGACCTCCGCTAGCTATTTTTAGCCTGACTCTATGTCGGCTAACATTGCCCGTTTTCGAGGAAGGATATGGCTAGGGATGCATTCGTAACAGATATCCTAACCATCTCAGTCGATGTAACTTCACAGCCTCATTGATTGATTTCCACTCCTTAACTAGCACTCAATCGATGCCTAACCTCAATATTGCTCACCCTATTATATCACTTCACACGGAAGATAGAACGCAGACCCAACCTTCCCTCTTTATCGTTCTTATTACCAGCTTACCGAGGTAAAGGAGTGCATCTGTGGCTTGGGATTGAACCCCGAACCACGTGAGGCGTTGTTTACGAATATTCTACCTCCTAGCCACCGACGCAGTTGACATGTAGCATTGTTACATAGCTATTTGGTCAGGTTAATAAAGATTCCCGGAATCCCATAGTGTCGAATTAGTTTCCGAAGCATTTTGCGATCAACACTGTCAAAGGACATCAATTATTTTGATTAAATAATGTTAGCCAAAGTAGAAGTTGGTTAGAATTAATGTCAGAGTAGTCAGGACGACTTTTCATATGATCTGTTAATATCAGTTTCATTATTTTTTGAAACCTGAGATTTTTGTTCATGGAAACTATCGTTATATTTTTAACCTCTGTTTATAAATTCTCAGGTCTGAAGACGATGCATTCCTGCTTTATATGGCTTTAAAATCTGGTCCACAGTGCTACATTGTCTCTAATGATGAATTTAAAAATTATCGTTTCTCAGCAGGTCGAGAGCTAGGGGAACAAATCTCTAGATGGCAATCGCATAGACATATTGTCCTACAACCTTTCATCCCATCAGTGTATTTGGTAAAAACTGATTTTTTTTACAAAATTTCGAATCTTAAACTTTAATTCTATTATTACTATTATTATTATTAGAAACGCTGATTTGATACGTTATGGACAGCAAGGGATTCGTCACAGTTTATTATTTCCTTTAATATCTAGAGAAACATAGGGCTTCAGCCAAACGTCTCCATTGCGTTTGGTTCTCTGCTAGTTTCCACCTGGCTCTAAGTCTTCTCACATGCTTTCATCTCCTCTTCACATGACCTCCTCCACATCACCCTTGCACAGACGACCAATTCGCCGCTTCCCTTTCGGGTTCCACTCGAGCACTGGCCTGTCTAGTGATGTCACTTGATGGTTTGTTTTCTCAGAGTATGGCCAATCCATCTCCATTTCTTCCTGCTTATTTGTTGCACAATCGGTTCCTGGTTGGTTTGTTCACTCATTGCCAGCGATCCCTGTTTCTGATTTTTTTCTGGCCATCTGATCTTGAGTACTGAGCGAAGACAACTGTTGATGAAGGCCTGTAGTTTGTTTGAGGTGCTCTTTATGACGCTCCAAGTCTATGTACAGAGAGTAGCACTGACTTCATATTGCAGTTGAAAATCCGGATGTTATTTTTCATGTTGAGTGCTGTTGACCTCCATACAGACTTGTGAGTGATAAAAGCTTGTCTTGATTTTCCGATTCTGGCTTTGATATCCTTGTCAGTTCCGTCAGCCTGTAATTGAAACGATGTTTCGCATGTGGGTAGGTAAAGGAGGTTGTATCTTTCAGGTTCCTCCCATTTATGCTGACTGATTGTTGTCTGTTGGTGTTGGCCAGGAATCTTCATCATCTCTGTTTTCTTTATGTTCACCTGAAATTCCATCTTCTCTGGGTGCTTCTTCTGCCAGCTTGTTGCTTTTCACTTCCATATCTTCCAGTTTGTGGGAAATCAGACATATATATGTCATCGGCGAAGTCCAGATCCTCAAGGTTTTTTGTGTGAGAGTCCATTTTATGCCTGTTTCCGCATTGCTTGTTGTCTGTCACATCCAATCTACTGCAATCAGGAAAATCATTAACGATAGTAGGCAGCCAGGTTGTCTTACTCCCGTCCTCACTTTGGAGGATTTCGTAAGTTTCGTGAATTTCCCGTTGTGGATTACTTGGCATGCAGCATTTTCGTGCAGCTGTTGGGTGATATGTATAGTTGTCGGCGAAGTAGTTGCCAAATCACCTCTCAATCTTAATTAATTTTCTCTGATAATTTATCATAAACATTTCGCTACTAATCGTGTTAATAGTGATTTGTAGACCAGAGACTACTACTAGAGAGCTCTTTCACCTTCTTTTATGAGTCCACAGTTCTATGCACTATTCAGGACTACTTTCAGGTGGCAAGGCAAGGTTTTAGGCCATTTGTTATGCTAACACTGGAACGGAAAATAACCGCCTATCACGTCTAACTAATGCCAATTTGTGACAAAACGCGACTACCAGCCAATGTTATCGGCGAGTATTTTTCATTACACTCAACCAGGGAGACTCCGGCTGCAAAAATTAGTCTGATGACTTGTTGGATGATCAGGTCATGCAATTCCTCCCCTGTTTTATGTATATTATTACTACTTTTATTATTGTTCCCTTGGGCTTCTAGTGGAACATAGGGCTTCAGCTGCACGCCTCCACTTGCTTCTGTCTTCTGCTGTACTTTTCGCCTGCATCCATGTTAGTCCATATTCTTTCAACTCCTCTCCACACGATCTCCTCCATGTAACCCTTGCACTGACGTCCCACTCGCCGCGTGCTTCCCTTTCGGGTTCCACTCGAGGGCTTGACACGTGATGTCACCCAGCGGTCTCCTCAGCGAGTGTCCGATCCATCTCCACTTTCTCCTACATATTTGTTGGGCGATTGGTTCTTGTTTTGTTTGTTTGTGCCCATAGCTTCTTGTTGGTGATTCTTTCCGGCCCAGCCATCTGATCTTCAGTATAGAGTCAGCGAATACAGTTGGTGATAAAGGTCTGCAATAGCCTGTTGGAAATATTCTTTGTGACCCACCCGCCAAATTTCTGATCCGTGTTCCGTATAGAAGAACTGACTGACTTGACGTTTATATTGAAAATCCGACTAAATTTTGTTGTTGATCCTGGCTGAGTTACGAAGATTTCCAGATTGGTTTCGGGTTGATGAATGTGTTTCTTGCGTGCCTTCCCGATTCTCGCTCGATTTGACATCCTCGTCCGTTCCGACTTCCTGTAGTTGAGACAATGCTCCCTAGATAAATGAATGAAGTAACTGACCTCTTTCAAATCCCTCCCGTTGACTGTTTTATATATGTATCGTATTATTTCACCATAGGGATACATTTGTGCGTCGGTGGCATAGCGGTTAGGACGCTCGCCGATCATGCACATGGTCCCAGGTTCGATTCCTAACCTTGATAAACCAGAAATAGTGCTGGTAAGGAGGGAAGGTTGGGCATGAGGCTAGCAACCCCATCCTGTAAAATAAACACTACTACAGAAACTTCAAGCCACTAGCTTGAAGCCCTATGTTCCACTGGGGAACGTGAAGGAAAAAAAACATTTATGTACAATCTTTCAATCTCTGGTCATACATGAAATCAAGTTATTTCACTTCAAATTTGTTTATTACACTGATGCCTCATTTGTCTTATCTAACGTAATTTTATTTTGTTCTTATATATATTTGGTCTCTTTTTCTGTTCTATTTCAGAAACCGTCAAAATGCGATTTATCTGTACATGGTAGTCCCGATATTGGTTGGCATATTCCATATCATAGTGGAAAATCTCGAAAGTTTTATACCGCAGTTAACTCATGGCTTTGTTTACGACGTGTAAAATAAATTATTATCATTATTATTTTGATAAAATTAACTCTTCTTATTAATCACGATTGGTTTCCACGTCGTAAATGGTGTCATGTTTCTAGTCCTTCTCGTTCCGACTGAATATTACGACAGTCAAGTTTGTAATGTGTGCTCAACTTGCTAGGCTAGGTGGTGGCTCGCAATCACAGTGCACCCACCCTGAATTGTTGTTGTTATTAGATGTTTTGAAGGAAATCGGCAAGAAGCCTTGGCAGGCCTAGGTTTCGTGCCCATTGGTACTCATCAGTAATGCGTGTCTGCAATATTCGGGGAACCCATGTGCCTTCTGAGAGACTTGAACCCCAGTCAACCAGTACTGCAGTCAAAGACGTTAAACTACTGAGCTACTCGGACTCACGATTGACCTTCTGTAGGACTGTCATAGATATGGACGTGAATTATTCCTCCAAGATAATAGGCACGCGTTGCTGACGTGTGCTTACAAGCAGGAAACCTAGATCTAAGACTTCATGTCTATTGTTTCCAACCATCTTGAAGCATACTGAGATTTGTATAAAGTGAGTGATTTTTAAAGTTAGGATATCTTATAGGCGCGGTGGAAACACAGTGCAAATTATTTTATATTCAAGACACGCATGTTGTCTTTTGTTCCTGTTATTTCTTCGACGATCGTCAGTAGTAATCTAAGCCTCTGGTGTCTTTCTCTGCTTTGAGAGATGAATAGTACAGACTGCCAATAATTATCCAGAAGACATTACCCTATACACGTGTTACTTACTGAACATTATTATAAGTAGTACTCACTGTACATTTTCAAGTCAATAATATAGCCTACAGGAGTTAGACTCCACACTGTATATGTTTCAATTCGGAACTAACGCATTTCAGGAGTGCTTTGTGTGTGTGTGTGGTTGGTTGTTACTTCCCAGCTGCTCACACCGTGGAAGTTGATTTTTTCTTCCGTGACCTCATAGGCAAGAGGACAACTGGTTGAGGCCGGTCACACACGGGCCTGTATAAACCGGCTTTTTGGTTTGGCTGCGTATTAGAAGCGTACTAACGGCTACGGACCATCGGGATGTAATAACTTTTTGGATTGACCGTTTCTTCTAACTCTCTTCAGAGTGAACCGACACCATAGCTGGTCATCTTGCTGCTGTTACATCTCTATTCCCTAGCAGTACTACGACATTGCCCACAGACCCCCAAGCATAATGTAAAAAAAATCCTACACTATACCGGTACTGCTTTTAGTCTAATCGCTATCCTGATAACCTTCCTAGTATGGTAGGACCTGTAGGAACATTGGTTCCAGCCAGTGTAGCTTGTTTGATCATTGTGATATGCAAGCCCAACCACCATGTCAAGCCAGAAGTTATCGAACGGGATGGATTTCAGGCATTGTATCGACTCAATGAATTAAAGAAAAGACTTCGGGATTCAATAACTAGCAACCAAAAGCACATTTTCTGAGTATGACTTGGAGAAGGTCGTGTGAAGAGGAGATGAAAGCATGAAGGCAGACTTGGAGCCCAGGTGAAAACGTTAGGGTTGGGGTTATGTTCCCTCTAGGAATTAAAGGAAACAATAATAATAGTAAGCATGACGTGATATTCGTTGTGACCTTACGGGAAAATTATAGTTACAGATCAATCTGTCTACGGTAGATTCTGTAGGTAAGTCAGGATGTGAATGATATTACAAACGTTTCCTGAGTCAGTGCTTTTTAGAAAGATGCTCCAAATAGCCTTCTCAGTTTGGTCTAAGAACTGGCTTCAACACACAAATGTAGCAATCTGAATTGCCACCCTCCTTTTAACACACAAAAGAGATCCAGAGGAACGATAACAAGCAGAAAAGTGAAAGATGGCAGAAAGTGCATGCATTTACGCCACTCAGAACAGTTGTGAGCTTTATCACACCAACTGTCTCCAGCAATTGGTTCTGAGATTCCGAAGGACCCTTTACTAAACAGTCTACGTGTCTGGCTCAAACCAACTATCAAAAATTTCATGTACTTATCTTTTTCAACCTATTCCCATGTCAGCTACCATAAATTGTTGAGGAAGACGATGGCTAGGCGTGAATAATGCATATCTATTTCAGTGATTGACTTTCCTTACCTAAAGCTCGACGCCTAACCTAAGTATTATTCATACCCTATTATACCACCTAACATGGAAGACAGAAAGCAGACACCTGCGATCAAAGACAACTAGCCTTTAAATGTCTTCCACTTTCAAATTCCATGTCTTATAGTCATAACGAAGGGCGGAGAGAATTTGTGAGCAATAACACTCGTCCTTCGATTGACAGTCAGGTATCACACCCACGCTAGATATTACGTAGGCTGGCAACCCAACCGTCACACGAGCAGTTAACGTTCGTGCTAAGATTTTGTCAAAAACCAGTCTCTTCTGGCTAATGCAGCTTCCAAAAACAGTCAACATGCTCTACGATTCCACTCCCTATTTATAAGCTAGGAGTCGTTGCAGTTCAATCCTGTAGCATCATTTCGCATTTGAAAGAAGAAGCAAATCGCATGCCAAACAAAAAAATTTCGCTGCTCAGAGGACTGCAAGGACAGTAAAATCTGCGTATTCTAAACCAAGAACACTATTCCCTGGTGACAAGTGAGTCTCTAAATCGTTGAAGTCAGTTAGGGTCACTTCCATTTATAAAGTGGGCATCCCTGACAGACACTAGTAGCTGTCATTACTTCATAGCGTGACTGCATGCTAGTTTGTTTATCTGCTGCAGCATTGTGATATAGTATTATTTACAGGATGACGTTCTGAGCATGAATTATTGCTCGTAATGACTTTCAATTTCATTTTTCTAGTTCTAAAGTGCCGTACTGCTTCCTTTTTACTAGCAGTAAGATGGGCTAAATAACTGAAATAGTCGTCGACTCATTTCTATAACGTGTAATAATCACTCAGCACTGTTCTATTAGCAATAGTTAGTGCCTCTTTTAACTTAAGTATAACAAATTTTTAAACTCTTGCCATATGCTACACCCAGAATTGTAATTTCGTCTCATTGAGTGCATTGCAATAATGACTGAGTGTTTTCCCTGGGTAATTTATTCTACTATGCTTCATTAATTTGCGTCTAGTGGAATTAAGGTGTTCGTGTATTCTGACTGATCCTGGTCAACGGCTTTAACCTAAGTACTTGACCTTACAACCAGCACATAGCATTTGATTGTGTTTTGCGTTATAGTGGCTGGAGGAGTTTTCTTCTGATATGTATCCACAATATATATATATTTGTATGTGTGTGTATGTTGGTCTCTCTTTCTGTTTGCTCGCTTAGTCTGTGACCACTTCACTTGTATGAACCTGTCTCCTTTAACAATGTATATTCCCCTTATATATAATATGTGTTTGTTGACAGTCCGTTGCTTAGTGACATATATCCATATATGGTGGTTGTTGACATGTCTGCTATATTTGGCTATATATATATATATATATATATATATATTTCGTTCTCACAATTTGTGTGACTGACTTGCTTACCACTTACTTACTTTGGTGTGATACCACTTTTGCATTCTCCTTGTGTTTGGAAAATAGAAGTATCATCGCAAACCTAGTGGTCTTCTGATTTCCGCCTTCTTGCGTCAGGACTATTACATTCTCGACCAGTCCATAACAATAATTTAGCGACGAGTACCTAACATCTTCCAACCCACCTAGTTCCTTTCTGAGAAGGTTTCTAAACTGAAATGTCAACTTTATTGCGTGTTTCCTTAAATCCCCAAGTTAATTTCATGATGCCTCTTCTTAATTTATTATGCTGATGTAGATAATAATCATCAAGAACAAACTGAAAGGATCAAAAGTTAAATTAGGAACACAATATTCGACGAAGAGACTCTTTTTTCAACAACGAATTTATTATCAAGCTGTACAATCGTATATATATATATATATATATATATGGCTTTTTTTAAAGAAATTATATCCGGTGAGAGAATTCGGTCAAAGGTGTGAATACATGAAATAATAATAGTAGTAGTACGAAATGCATCTGTCAGTCCACCTGCTACTCTTGTGGAGCAATGTACATTGGCCGTAGTCAGAGAACGCTTTCCATACGGATACGAGAACATATTTCAGCAATAATAATAATAACAATAATAATAGTTTTTGCTTTATTCCAAAAACAGTACTCATGATACAGCAAGGAATTTTCAGCATTCAGTACAATATTGCATCTAATTTACTCAAAAACGACAAAAAAAAATTAAAAATACACATTACATAATAGTAATAAAACGATTGTTATATCAGCTACATAGCAAAATACTGTATGCCATACGGAGAAAAATATGCATAAAGTATAAAATTGTAGTAATAATAGTAATACCAACTAAAATAAAATAGCAGAGTAATAATTAAACGATAGAAAGTGTGACACCATAAAATACAGAAAGATGAACGATGAAAGGGTCGATTCACTGTGCTAATTACATAATAACTTATAAGTTTCACGTCTAACAGAGTCTTCGTCACATAAAGTACGGGCTAAATAGGGTATTGTAGAATTTCTATACTTGGTGGTACGAGCATATAACTTTTTATATTGACTTCTCGTCCTACCTGATGAGATACGAGGGGATAGGTGTGAATAAAGGGGGTGCAGAGGGTCTGACAGTATAGCTTTTGACCATTTCGTACAGGAATTTATATGCCTCTCGACTATAGTATTAGCGAGCTCATGCAGTGGCAGATCACAAGCCCTACTCATAGCGTTTAATACTCTTCGTAATATGATATAATCTTTTTTGAGAAGCCCAGGAAAGATTAATGGAGAGCAATAGAGTACAATAGGTAAAATACAGGAGTTTAAAAATTGCAAAACTAAAGGTTGGTTGATACCTGATTGCTTTAACTTTTTAATGTAGAAGGTAAGATGAAACATTTTCTTAGAGATAGATAAGATGTGTGATGACCATAAAAGGTCAGAGGAAAGAACTAATCCAAGGTATTTAATGCTTGACTTGGTTTCAATTTCCGTGCCATCTATGCTACAGGGATCATGCGAGCTAACTAGTTCATGTAAGTCACGTCGATGCTTGAAAGTAAAGTCAAGTGCCTGACATTTGGAAGGATTTGATATAAGACCATTTGACTTGGACAACTTGTTGATGTCCAACAGAAAGCTATTAAGTTTGGAGCTGTCAGACTCGGAAGTGATACAGTCAGATCATCTGCATATTTGACAAAGTTAGTTTCGTTTGAATTGGTTTTACAGGGGAGAAAGGAAGTGTGTGCGAAGCTATATTCTAGAACACCTGATCGACTTCTGTCACTCTGTCAACCCTGACCATGATTTCAAGATCATATATAGAATCCATGCTAACTTCCCGCGTTTTCTTCGTTACAGACTTCTAAAGACAGCTGAGGCCGTGGCAATTCATGAATTTATTCCAGACCTTTGCGTAGAAAAAAGGAAGTACGCACAACCCCTACTTCTGCCTTTGATATGTATCCACATGATGTGTGTTTTGTTTTGACAGTCTATTATATTTTGCTGTGTATATGGATCGGTATTTCATTATAACTGACAATATGCTTTTGTCTGTCCACAAACTAAATAAACATGTATGACCTTATTGTCACATGACATTACAACTTATCATATTAAGACTGTATATTTATTGGTTCATGTGTATTAGTCATTTTCATATATACTTTTGTACTGGATTCTTGTTCCCACATTTCGTACATCTAAATACCTTTCCACTCACACACTTGTGTGACATTTATTTTCCTTGTCTGGAAAATACAAGCATCATCGTAAACCTGGTAGTCTTCTGGTTTCCCTCCTTTTGCGTCAGGACTATTAACTACTCGACAAGTACATAACATAATTGGCGACGGGGAAAACTCTAATAACTCACTCAGCAGCAGTACATAACAGCCTTGGCCGTAGAGGGATAGACATTTATTTATTTTGTTTATTTAGTTATTCTATGTACTTCTCCCGTATTACTACGATTGTTTTTATTATTATTACTCCGAATCTTTACAATATTGAATTCTATCTTATCAAATTTCTTACCAAGTTATGTAACACTTTATATTCGTCTTTTAATCCTATAACTATGCACCCCTTTCCAACATCTATATACTTTATGTATTATTCTATATATGACATTAATTATTTTGCTACTTGGCGTTAAACTATGATTATAATCACAAATATTTTAATTACGCTTCCTACTATTATTATTTTATGCATTCACACCTACGATTCAATTCCCTCACTGGATAACTTCTTAAAAACCATATATATATACGATTGTACAGCTTGATAATAAATTTGTTGTTGAAAAAAGTCTCTTCGCTGAATATTGTCTTCTTAGTGCTACATTGGGAATTATTAAATTATCAAAAGTTAAATATCAGGTCAACGAAATAACTAAATAAGTTGGTGAGAATTCCGGCGGGTGGGAGGAGTATACGACCAATCACGTTCAAATGTTGAAGATGAGAGACGGTTATTAGGTTTTATAGAAAATTCACCATCGAACAAAGCATGGAATGGCAATCAAACCTCTACCTCAACTTTATAGACTGTGAGAAGGCCTTCCACAGCGTTGATCGCGAAGTAATTTGGAAACTACTTGAGTACTACGGCGTACCCCAAATATTCATCGACCTTATTCAACAGCTGTACGACAACGGCACATGTCAAGTGGTCCACAACAGAAAACTCAGCGAAGCGTTTGGAGTAAACACAGAAGTCAGACAAGGGTGCTTATTATCATCAATGATATTCCTAATTGTGGTGGACTGGATTATGCGTCAGACAGTGAGTGGGAAACGAGAAGACAGGAATATCCTGGACAAACGTGAAGAACCTAGAAGACCTTGATTTCGCGGATGATTTATGTTTGATGTCACACACAATCGAAGACTTACAAGCGAAAACCGACAAACTGGTCGAAGAAGCAGCAAAGACAGGACTCCAGGTGAACATAGACAAGACGGAGGTGATGAAAATAACCAACCAACAACAGCAACAACATCCAACGTCAATCACCATCAACGGGAGGGATTTGAAAGAGGCTACTTCATTTACTTATCTAGGGAGCATTGTCTCAACTACAGGAGGAGCGGACGAGGATGTCAAATCGAGCGAGAATCGGGAGGGCGAGAAACACATTCATCAAACTGAAAATCTTTGCCACTCAGCCAGATCAACAACAAAATTTAGTCGGATTTTCAATATAAACGTCAAGTCAGTCAGTTCTTCTATACGGAACGGATCAGAAACTTGGCGGGTGGGTCACAAAGAATATTTCCAACAGGCTATTGCAGACCTTTATCAACCAACAACTGTCTTCGCTGGCTCTATACTGAAGATCAGATGGCCGGGCCGGAAAGAATCACCAACAAGAAGCTATGGGCACAAACAAACAAAACAAGAACCAATCGCCCAACAAATAAGTAGGAGAAAGAGCATGGAGATGGATCGGACACTCGCTGAGGAGACCGCTGGGCGACATCGCGCGTTAGGTCATTCCTCGAGTGGAACCCGAAAGGGAAGCACGCGGCGAGTGGGACGTCAGTGCAAGGGTGACATGAAGGAGATCGTGTGAAGAGGAGTTGAAACAGCATGGGCTAACATGGATGCAGGTAGATCAGAAGACAGAAGTGGCAAGTGGAGACGTGCAGTTGAAGCCTTATGTTCCATTAGGAACCCAAGGGAGCAATAATAATAATAACCATCTAGCGCTCACTAGTGACTGACTATAGGATGAATTGCCTGAAGTTTTAGTGTGAAGTTGTGATCAACAGTGCACAATAAGTTGTGCCTGAAGACTTTTGCGCACTGGCAACATAACTCTGGCAGTCGCCCTTGAATCGACACACGATTGGCTCGACGGCAGACGAGCTCACCTCCTAACCTGAAAACTCTGAGTCCGATTCTTATCGTGTGACTTCAAAAGTGAATACTACTGAAAACTTACAAACATGGAGGAAGTAACTGTTTCCAGTTGTCCTCTAACTCAATCGTCAATTCGTAATCAAGACTGAAAATCAAACAATAAGTAGCCAGAGGATGCCGCACCTGTAGACCTAATCGTTGCTAGGATACTGAAGAAAGCAGAAGAGGCGGTTAAAAGTACTAGTTGTAGTACTACTCATGACCACTCAAATGCGACTACTTACATTTGATAAAAAATATCTGAAACATTTTTAGTTACGAAAACTATGTTTAAAACAATTAGTTCCCTTTATGAATTTAGATAAAGCAATAAGAAGACGTAATTTGTCTGAATTGAGTTTTGTTTTTGCGCAACGCATTTCGAACAATCTGATAACACATACGGACTTGTCATAGCAATATATACATGTGAAATTAATAAAAAGTTAAGAGGTGAGAAAATAGGCCACTTAGGTCAAGTTAAAAGGAGGATGTATTGAAGGTCAAAATAACAATGAAGATCACTTAACCAAATAACAGAGGTGATATAGTACATCTACCCTGACTAATATCAAAACAAAATTAACTAAGGAAGGTGGTTTAATGTGATGACGAATTGTTGCTTTGAACGCATTATTATTTTTCCTTCACATTCCCCAGTGGAACATAGGGCTGCAAGCCAGTGGCTTGAAGTTTCTGTAGTAGTGTTTATTTACAGGATGGGGTTGCTGGGCTCATGCCTAACCTTTTCTCTTTACCAGGATTATTTCCGGCTTAGCGAGGTAAAAGGAGTGCGGCGTCAGCCGGGATCGAACCTCGGACCACGTGCATGGTCGGCAAGCGTCCTAACCGCTATGCCACCAACGCAATTTGAACGCATAAAGGTGGTTTGAACTTCCTGATTGCTAGCTGGGCTTCCACAAACTTTAGGATACGCCCCAAACATGTTTAAACGTCAATTTTATGTCCTGTTTCTATAATGTGTTTTGCAATGGAGGAGCATATTCCAAAATGGCTACACAAACAAATATAATCTTCAGAACCCATTAATAGTAAGAGGAGACCTAGCTCCTCTATTACGAAACATATTATAAAGACGGGAAATAAAATTGACGTTAATACATCTTTTAAACCTATCTATAAAGCGTGTTTGGGGCGTATCCTAAAATTTTTGGAAGCCCAGCTAGCATTCAGGAAGTTTAAACCATCTTTATGCGTTCAAAGGAACAATTCGTCATCACATTAAACCTTCCTTGGTTAATTTTGTTTTGATACTATAGCAGAGTAGATGTACTATTACCTCTGTTATTTGGTTTAGTTGATTGCATTGTTATTTTGACCTTCAATATGTCCTTTTAACTTGACCTAAGTGGTCTATTTTCTCACCTTTTAACTTTTCATTAATGAGAAGTCCGTGTGTTTTCAGATTGTTGTACAAACACATTACTCAATTCAGACAAATTACGTCTTCTTATTGCTTTATTTAAAAACAATGTTTAAGAAAAAAAAATCTAAATCCCACAATGATGAAATTATTTATTACCTTTCAGTAATTAAAAAAAAACAAATAAGTAAATAAATAAATAACCAAACAGCTAGTAGTAAGTAAGTAGTACAGTACACACATTAGTCAAAAATCACTTTCCACTGCCAATACAAAAGGAATAAGAAGAACAATGCAAATGAATACATTGAAAACAATAATGGAAATAGATCTGGATAGGCTTGAGGCGGTGTAATAAACATATCCCCAACGATTAAAATACTATAACCGAGAAGAATAACGCAATAAGCGAATACTGAAGACATTTTACTACTTATAATACTATCAGAACTATTGGTTTTTTGCAATGTTTTATCCGTATTATGCTTCCCATGATTAGTATTATCGCTATTATTTTTATTATTATTACTATGATTATTTCTAAACACAATAAAACATCCAAGAATGCAATAAATACAAACCAATGATAAACTAGCCAGTTTTAATTCATCTTTTTTCAATAATGGCCACATACTTAATACAGAGCATAAAGAGAATAGAAAAGATGATGCTGGATAGATAGGGAGTAAGCATAGTACTGGAATAGTAACAAGTAGAATAGATTTTTCATGAACTTGAAATGAAAATAAATAAAAGCCTAATGAACAGATGACTAAAGAGATTAACAATTTTTTCTGTTGATTTGTTGATTTTTTTAATAAAATTAAACAGCATGGAAGACATGTGATGGATACAAGTAAAATGCTAATTAATACAAGTTCATAAGATGGAGACGATGATGGTGAGGACAATGCGGACGAGGCGGGAGGGAATAATGACCGCCATTTGACTAATGGTGATGTAGCACACCAAAAGTTTGACACTTTATCCTCATAAATACCACGATCCAATGGAAATAAACGTTTAATTACTTGATATACACTATTTGCATCATTTGTGGTTAACAGAAATGGTGTAAACACTAATGATATAGTCAAGAGGACAGTTAATCCTAACTTGATGAAGTGTATTACACCATCACGCAGTGTGCTTTTATGTAAACAAACGCTAAGTAGGTAGAAAAATATTGGCAATGAATGATACAATTCCATTTGTTTATAACACAAAGCTAAACAAAATAATATAGAAGCAAATATATCCCATTGTAATAGTAGACAATTCACACTAGCTAAATATAAACCAAGACTAATACAATTATACTGAAAATGTCCATGATCTATCAGGATAATACCAGGATAAGTTAACATTAAACATGCCGAGTAAAATCCACTAATTTGTTTAAGTCTATTGACATCAGTATTTACAATCCTAGGCAACACAGAATAGAAATACACGATAACAAATGGGATAAAAATCAATAGGTCAGCAATGAATACAGTATATCGCATAAAAAGCTTATGCTCTTTCGATTCAAATCCTCTTGATTTATACAGTTGAACCCATTCATTGTTTATCAGACTGGCTAGTGCACCCATTAACCAACTATGATAGGCAGTTAGCGGAGGATAATCTAGGCCCCAATAGTTTAAATCATTTTGTGTTGTATTTGTATACCATTCAGTAGGCGGTAAGTTGAAGGTTATTTCCATCCAATGACGTTGGGCTTCATAATCACCATACATAGGCGGTTTACCTTGCCCGGAATATGAATGGAGACTGATTGCTGAACGTACAGTAAGTCCAATGAATATAGGCAGGCAGATTTTAATAATGTTATCAGCATTCATGGTCGGCTTTCAGCACTGAAAAGTCAATTAAACAACAATAAAAAACGGCTTGATTTGCAAGGAACTAATGATTAACACAATGTGTTATCGACTAGTAAAAAAGGGGAACTCTATTACCGATCCTTATAACCCAACAGTAGTCTAACAACTGTCTCATGAAGGTTTCGTGTGCTTTTGGAAGTGTGTGCATGGTTGTTACTTATCGGCTGCCAACACCGTGGAAGTTTCTTGACTCTTCTGATACCTGAAACACAAAGAGGGTTAGTATTGAGTGACCGCAGAGCCTAAGGGACAACTGCTTGAGGCCAACCGGTCACACACAGCCTGTATGAACTGGTTTCTTGGTTTGGTTCCGTATTAGTAAACTTACCGCCGGTTACGGACCACCGTAGGTGGGGTAAGTCCGGATGTACAATTTTTGGGGCCGACTTTTTCTAACTCCCGCTCTCCAGACTGGAGAGACAGCATAGCTGGCTGGCATGCTGGTCATCTAAGGGAAACACATAAATGCTGCTACACCCCTGTTCCCCAGCAGTACGACTTCGCCCACAGACCCCCAGCATAATGTAAGAAAAATTCTTACAACTACTTGATTAATTGACTGATTTCAACATATAACGTTGCGCAGAAGTGCAGCAGTTTGAGTTGTCACACTCCATTGAACGTAAAGAGGAAGACAAAAAAGAAACAAAGACACTCAACAGGATGATAATTAGCAGAAATGTGTGCGTCGGTGGCGCAGCGGTTAGGACTCTCGCTGACCATGCACATGGTCCGGGGTTCCACTCCCTGCCTGCAAAATTTGGGCTACCGATATCCATATTGAAAAATCCATACTTGTACCAAATATACTGTGAAGTTTCAAGCTATAATCAAAATCAAAAAATAGTACCATCCAAGGACAGTAGGATTTTTCGGATCAGATACATCACAAAGAGTGAATGCATCTGCGCTAACACCGAGAAAGATTTCGAGCCGTATCACCAATTGTCTCCAGTTAATGGTTCTTAAAATCCCAAGGAACCCAAAGCCTCAGGATGGTCGGGAGTGGGTGCCTTGCGCTGCGGGTTGGCCACCCCTCCGTACACCTCTTGAAATGCTCCCATATGACCAAACGTCTTACATAGCCTCTCCTGAGGAAGTCCTACTCACTGCCTTCACGTGGCGGTGTTTTTTCACCGAAGTGAGGGCAAAAGCGGGTGCCCGGCGCTCTTCACCGGGTTGACTGTCCCTTGGATGACAGTCTAGGGGAGATGGCTAAACCCTGATTCCAAACCTTCAACGACTGGCGTATGAAGCTCACCGGCAGACGTATGGACAAAGGGCTTATTGGATGACCTGGACGTCTGGCCCCATTCAAAAAGGCGTATGAACCGGACTCCGGTCACCGGCTGCCAATGGACAGTGGATTTCCTACTCCACTCTTACTGCCTTGTAGGTCACACTTGGTTGTGTAAAGGCTAGAGCTGCACTCTCAAACAAAAGGCCGAGCGATGCTGAGGACATCACTCGTACTTAATTCCCATGAAACTTTATGAACTCTCTACGACATCAACCAAATTCCAGTACTGGTCCAACAACGTCGCCTTCGGTGGTTTGGCCATGTTCTGCGCCGACCAGATGACGATCTGGTCAAATCAGTTCTAAATCCCTCACCATTTCCATCTTGGCGATGTCGCTGGGGTGGACAGCTGAAAACATGGCTTGGTACGGTCTAGGCTGATATGGAATGCCTAGGGCTACAAACCGTCTACGAACTCCGTCTGTGGAACAAGAATTGGATAACCATGTCGCAAAACCTTGCATCAGATCGCCGCGCCTGGGAAGCGATGATTCGAGTTGTTCATGAAGCCGGCTCATCCTCCCGTAGGAGATAGCCGAAGTAAAGTAAGGAAGGAACCCAACTAACCACCACTGGATCTTTTCTAACTCAATGGTATGCCAATATATGTGCAAAACTTGGGGACTGCGTTAGTAAGTAATTTCATATCAGTTTGTTTATTAGATGTATCACACAGTCACTGAAACAGTATTATGTACTGGATGACACAGTTTCGAGAAAAATTTATTGTTCACAATCATGTCATCAATTATAAACACACGACTTTGAAATTTGATTTTTTTTTAGTTTTCTTTTTTCTCTGCTATTTGTCGTCACTGGGGAAGTATAATATTCCAGATATCCGACTGGACAGGTGTTGAATCATTCCAAATACACGTATTCTTTCTCAGCTGATTCGATAAACAAAGCTTGTTACCAACCTCTCCCTCCACCCTGTGACATTGGGTTTAAATTTAAATTTTACAATAGGATGGCAGTTTTAAATCTAATGTCACAGGGTGGAGGGAGAGATTAATAACAGAAGCTTTGTTTATCGAATCAACTGCAGACACATGTAACAGGAATGATTGAACATCTGTCCACCCAGAAATCTGGAAAATTCTACTACCCCAACGACGATAAATAGGAGAGGACAAAGAAAACTATAAAACTCGAGTTTCGAAGTCGTGTAATTATAATTGATGAAATGATTGTGAACAATAAATATTGTTCGAAACTGTGTCATCCAGTAAATAATACTGTTTCATCACTGTGTGATACATCTAATAAACAAACTAATATGGAATTAATCCTATGTCGGCTAACATTCGCAGTCGAGGAAATCGATAGCTAGGCATGAGTAACGCATGTCTTCCCCTTCTAACCTAACACACTCAAATTCTAACCTCAATATAACCCACACTATTAATCACAAGTGTCGTCTATTTACAACAAGATTACAAAACTCATTCACAAAACAATCAGAATATGTTGGAAAACTACTCTGCAACTACGAAATTATAGAACACGAGAGTTAAGCAAGCAAATATGCATGTGTATCTCCACTTACCCCATTTCTGTTTAACTTCATCATAGATATGCTGATGGAAGTATCCTTAACTGAACTTAACGACTTAGTAATCGGCTTGTTACCAGGGAATAGTCTTATGGACTTAGACTATGCAGATGACATAATCCTGTTAAGGGAGGATGCTGACAAAATGCAGAGTCTTCTGAACACCTTGAGCAGCTATCTCCGTATGTTTCGCATGCGATTCGCCCCTACAAAATGTAAGATGCTGCTACAGGACTGGACTACGTCAACTCCTAGCTTAGTGATAAGGAGTGAAGTGATAGAACATGTTGACCACTTCACCTATTTGGGAAGTTGTATCAGCACCAACGGACTGATTGGCGATGAAATCTCATCACGGATCCAAAAAGCTCGAGCTGCTTTCGCTGATTTACACCATCTCTGGCGTAGGCGTGACATCCGGCTATCAACTGCTAAGCAGTTCGCTACGTCCTTCTCTATGGCTCTGAAACATGGCCAATACCAGTCGAAGACATGAAAAGGTTGACTGCTTTCGATCATAGATGTCTGCGATCTCTGTCTCACGTTAGGTGGTTTAATAAGGTAAGTAACGTTGACGTTAGGCGCAGAGTGTTGGGCAAACAGGGAAAATCAATCGACGAGGCTATAAAGTTACATAGATTGAGATGGTTAGGTCACGTGCTGCGCATGCCTAACCATCGCCTCCCCCCACGGGCATTACTAGCTGATATAGGTGCAGGTTGGAAGAGAGCCAGTGGTGGCCAAACAAAAACATGGCCTCATCAATCCATGAAATCCTTGACAGTTAAACTGAGTCAGGTAGGGAGGGAGATGCAGACTCCCGGGTTGGGGCCCCCTGGACTCTAGGAATCAATGGCTGGAGACAACAGGTGATGACATGGCTCAAAATCGTTGTCAATGGCGCAGATGTATTCAGTCTCTGTAATCTTTCATATTCCTTTCTACCATTAACCATTCCGTTTCACTCTTATACCTGTCAAACTCTATTGATTCTCTTCACTCATCTTCTTGTCTACCTTTGCGTGCTATTTGGAACGTGGCAACTCGAAGTGCTGCACTTCGGTGCCAAGTTCTATGTTGAATCCAGACAGACAGACAGATGTGTATCTGCGGTAGATTCTCACCAAGTTTTACAATCATATAATAAAATACCTGCCATAGACTTCTGAAAAAATGTAGATCGATAGAATCAAACACAATCAAGTAGAATGATGATGATAATAATAATAATAAATTGCGAAACTTGATTACATCTGATCCTATTTATCCACTGTTTCAAATGTCTATGACTAATATTTTATGTAATTGTAAAGCCTGGTGAGAATTTAGCGGAAATACACACCTAACTGCTTGAATCATGTTCTATAATCATGATTATAAAGAAAATTACATTAGTTTCGAAATTCGCTCAATGAGATCATAAGGTTAATTGTAATTTAAAAATGAATCAGTCCAACCCATATCATAGTCGCATAATCTGCTTTCAAACGGAAAACTACTAGCAGTATCAGTTGATATGCAGCATTGAAGAATATGCTTAGCAAGGCTCAGTACAACTCAACACAAGTAAATTTTCTAGAGCTATTTTTCCCAGCTTATTGCAAAACATTTGGGGATGCATCAAAATCAGCATTTCCCCAAAGGATCTCCAAGATCTTATATATGCCCCGAGATTTCTTCAGCGGTCGCGGAACTGACTATTAGGGGACGCCTACCACAAAAAACATCACTTCAAACAGTAGATGAATGAATCAACACCGGATGACGGACCAGAAGTCAAAATGACTATGTACAGGAAAACTTACAAATAACCACACACATTCCCGGCTACACAGAATACAACTTGTTGTGTACACACTGCATTGAAACCAATAACTGCATAGATTGAACACTGACTGAACTCTCCTTCAAGGAAGATTGTAAACATGGGATTCACTCGCTTAATGTCGTTGACTATGGCCACACAGTATCATGCTTTCCTATCGAGCAGTCCACAATAGTAAATCAAAATGTCACTACAAATATCACAGCCATCTGGTTCGACAACAGTATCTCATCAAAAATCCGCTAGTAATGTTTCTGATACAGATGATATCGATACGAAGCAAGACGGGGATGGGAACTGCACATGGAAGGAGACATTAACTGATAGTCGAACAGATACTCCCTTGTCAAAACCATTCACAACTGACATTTGTGCATGTGATGATGAAAACTCTGGGTGACAACGAAAAGCAGATAACACTTCTGCAAACGGTGAAATAATTGATGAGAATATGGCGTCGGCAAGTGAACATACACCCCGTAGTCCGTTCTTCGCTTCTAGGATGCAGAACAATCATTTACAGCCAATCTTTTTCGATTCTATTCCATTGGAATCCACTACTATCACCATCCGCCAAAAACGTGGTAGCCTACATGAACGCTGAAAGCAACGATGTGGACATATCGGTCCGTCAGATCACTACCGCTTAATAATGGTATTTTGAACAAATGACTGTCAAGAAGGACGGTTCGTGAGTCTACTCCAGTAGCATTAACTTCTTTGCCATCTAAATCTACTCGTCTGTCTGTTTGAAGATTGTGGTTACTAGCGTCAGGTGAATTTCCAACCAGGCTTCAATCTTTTCTCTCTGCATGCGATTTTCGAGTAATTCAGTTACTTTCCATCGTGTTCTCAACAGTCACAGTTCCTATGGCTTGAGTATTATTCAATAACATAGGACTACAACAGACTGAAGAAGGCTTCTCTGGAGCTTGGCATTCAGTTTCAGCCGCAACATAAGCCTACAGAGATCGGGTCACATCTGCAGATGTGAACTACTGCATTACTTCATGCAGAAATGCAGTAGTTCACATCTTCACAATTCAGAAGATACGCCACATTCTCATCAATTATTTCACCGTTTGCAGAAGTGTTATCTGCTTTTCGTTGTCACCCAGAGTTTTCATCATCACATGCACAAATGTCAGTTGTGAATGGTTATGACAAAGGAATATCTGTCAGTTGATGTCTCCTTCCATGTGCAGTTCCCACTGCCGTCTTGCTTTGTGTCAATATTATCTGCATCAGAAACATTACTAGCGGATTTTTGATGAGATACTGTTGTCGAACCAGATGGCTGTGATATTTGTAGTGACATTTTGATTTACTATTGTAGACTGCTCGATAGGAGAGCATGACACTGTGTGGCCATAGCCAACGACCTTAAGCGAATGAGCCTTCTGTTTACAGTCTTCCTTGAGGGAAAGGAAACAGAGCAACAGTTAGCCTTCGGCCTGTGCAAGTATCGGTTGCGCAGCAGTGAGTAGAAGTAACGCTTACATTCAAATGAGCGCTGAGATTGCGACTGCAAATCTATCCGGCGCGGTTTTACGTATACTCACTAAATTTCAACTAAAACATTCTGAATCAATCTAAGGGAATAACTGATATTCGGACTGTAGTACCCCTATACCAACTGTAAACGTGCTTTTTAATCTGTATTAGATTTCAGATTTGTTAATAATAATGATTTACTTTATTCCAAAAACAGTACTTGTGATACAGAATGGAATTTTCAGCATTAATCACATTATTGCATCTAATTTCCCCAAATTATAAATAAAATTAATCACACAGAAAATTTTCCACATTTACAATAGAGGTAGTGTCAAAAACATGCAGCATATAAAATGGAAGTAGCAATAATAATGATAACAGCTAGGGTAGTAATAATAAGAATACAAGTGAAAATTGCCGTTGGCTTGTGTCACGCAGTATTGGCAATGTGGTATAGAAATCCTAACATGTTTAAAAATATTGAATATAATGTTCTTTCTACATGATATGGTGAAGGAAAAAACATAGATTACAGCCGTCATGGAGATAAGTTGGTGTTTGCAATTATGAGAGTAAAACAGAAAAGTAACAGGACCATAAATATAATAGAAGTAATAAAAGTAAAACTTGAAGGTATGTAAGGATGGATGGAGGAAATTGTTTATTTACTAGATGAAAGAAGGTTAGTTAATTCTTGCCTGACACTATTTTCATCACATAAAATACGTGCCAAGTATGGTATCATAGAATTCTTATACTTAGACGTGCGAGCATACAGTTTTCTGAAGTTACTCCTTGTTCTACCTGAGGAGATGCAAGGTGAAAGCTGAGGGTAAAGTGGATGCTCCAAGTTAGACAAAATCCCTTTAGCAAATTTATTGCACGAAGTCAAATGCCTATCGACAACGACGTTAACTATGTGGTCCACTGGGACACCACTCACTCTACTGACAGTCTTCAGTATTCTACGAATTGTGACATAGTCTTTTTTAAGCAAACCAGGAAAGAATAAGGGTGAGCAATAAAGAAGAATAGGTAGGATGCAAGAGTTTACGAACTGTAGGATGAGGGGTTGAGTTATACCCGAGTGTCTTAACTTCTTAATGTAAAATGTCAGGTGGAATATTTTACTGGAGATTGCTAAGACATGGGAAGACCAGGAGAGATCAGAAGAGAGAATGAGTCCAAGATACTTAATTTCTGATTTGATTCCAATATCATTGTCGTCAATTTTACAAGTGTCATGAGAATCGATGACTTCTTTTAACTGTCGTTTACATCTTAAGCTGAAATCAACAGTTTGACACTTAGAAGGATTCAGTTTAAGACCGTTAGACGCAGACCATTTGCTGACTTCCGATAGAAAGCTATTTATTTTAGTACAATCTAGCTGGGAGTTAACAGCCATTGAAACCGTTAAATCATCAGCATACTTCACAAAGTTTATTTCATCAGAGTGAGGCAAGTCGTGCGAGAAGAAAGAAAAAAGAAAAGGAGAAAGAACAGCACCTTGAGGGACACCAGCTTCAGTAGGCAATGAAGTGGAGGACTTCCCTTTATATACGGTGTACTGCTTTCTATCTGAGAAATAGGCATATAACCAGTTAACAGCCCAACATTCTGTTTGACTAGCAGCAAGTTTATTTAATAAGATGTCCCTAGGGACCGAGTCGAATGCAGATGTATAGTCTAGGAAGGCGCAACGAACAAATTTAGCTCCCTTGTCTAGACTGGAAGCAATGTTATGATATAAGACGGCAGCTGCATCTAAAGTGCTTCTACTGTGCTTATAGGCAAATACTTTAGGGTCATTAAAGGATTTAAGCGAAGGTTCAAGACTAAGTAAAATTAATTTCTCCATAGTTTTCAAAAAAGGAGACGTAATAGCAATGGGTCTAAATTTGAGGATAGAAGGCTTGGAGCTTATGTTGACCCTTTTCTAGTAGATTTCAGTAGTTGTCCAAAACCTTCTTGAACGAATCAGTTGAGGTTGCAGACAACACTTCTTCTGGGAGTCGGTTCCAAGAGTTTATGACTCCATGTGAGGACCAGTACTCAACAGCAATATGATTTCTCCTATGTCCTCTAAGGTGTTCCGACCTGGTGGGAAAGAAAAGAGAGAATAGGTCAGGTCCCTAGTCATAATTTGAAATTTTAAGCATTGTGATTAAATCTCCTCTCTGCTACGGTATGACAGTGAGAAGAGATTTAAACTGTCTAGTCTTTCCTCGTATGATGAGTTAGCTATTTTTTCTTTTTGATTACAGCTTGATTCCACACTGTATTTTTGGTACAAGTATGGAATTTTCAGCATAGATATCGGTAGCCCAAATATCGCAGGCCGACCATAGATGTCAGGTGTGGGTCGGCAGGGGATCGAACCCCGGACCATGTACATGGTCGGCGAGAGTCCTAACCACTGTGTCACCGACGCTATGCCGTGAACCATACGTGCTGCCTTCCTTTGAACACTTTCTAGAATGTGTGAGCCCCCTTTTAGACAAGGACTGAAGGCCTGGGTGCAGTTTTCCAGTCTTGACCTCACCATAGATGTGCACAAGAAGGTGAACATATGTCTGGTGATTCTAGTAAAGGCTCTGAGAATTGCCCATAAGGACCTGAAACTATATACAGCCACCGCGCGACAGTGTGCTGTAGTTTTTAAGTCGTGGCTAACTATGACACCTAAGTCCAAGTGAGTCTGAAATGATGGGAGTTATATTCCCTCTAGTTCATAGGAGCTTGTGCGTGCTTGTCCAATGCGCATGGTTGCACATTTCGCCACATTGATCGGGAGCATCCATTCTATGGGCCGCTCTGACAATTTGTTGAGGTCCTCTTGCAACGTGAGTGTATGAAGGTTGGCCTTCAGCTCTCTCCAAATTTTTAAGTCATCCGCGTATAGGACCATAGGGGAGTCGGCGAGCAGAGGTAACTCATTGATATACAGAATAAATAAAAGAGGTCCGAGTACCGTGCCTTGCGGCACTCCGCTACGTACTGCTGTCCAAGAGGAGAGTTTCACATTTATCCTAACCCCCTACCTTTTATCTATGAGGAATTCCCTTCGTATGTTTGGCATGCGATTCACCCCTGCAAAATGTGAGATGCTGCTACAGGACTGGACTACGTCAACTCCTAGCTTAGTGATAAGGAGTGAAGTGATAGAACATGTTGACCACTTCACCTATTTGGGAAGTTGTATCAGCACCAACGGACCGATTGGCGACGAAATCTCAGCACAGATCCAAAAAGCTCGAGCTGCTTTCGCTGATTTACACCATCTCTGGCGTAGGCGTGACATCCGGCTATCAACTGCTAAGCAGTTCGCTACGTCCTTCTCTATGGCTCTGAAACATGGCCAATACGAGTGGAAGACATGAAAAGGTTGACTGCTTTCGATCATAGATGTCTGCGATCTCTGTCTCATGTTAGGTGGTTTAATAAGGTAAGTAACGTTGACGTTAGGCGCAGAGTGTTGGGCAAAGAGGGAAAATCAATCGACGAGGCTATAAAGTTACATAGATTGAGATGGATAGGTCACGTGCTGCGCATGCCTAACCATCGCCTCCCCCCACGGGCATTACTAGCTGATATAGGTGCAGGTTGGAAAAGAGCCAGTGGTGGCCAAACAAAAACATGGCCTCATCAATCCATGAAATCCTTGACAGTTAAACTGAGTCAGGTAGGGAGGGAGATGCAGACTCCCGGGTTGGGGCCCTCGGGACTCTAGGAATCAATGGCTGGAGACAACAGGTGATGACATGGCTCAAAATCGTTGTCAATGGCGCAGATGTATTCAGTCTCTGTAATCTTTCATATTCCTTTCTACCATTAACCATTCCGTTTCACTCTTATACTTGTCAAACTGTATTGATTCTCTTCACTCATCTTCTTGTCTACCTTTGCGTGCTATTTGGAACGTGGCAACTCGAAGTGCTGCACTTCGGTGCCAAGTTCTATGTTGAATCCAGACAGACAGACAGATGTGTATCTGCGGTAGATTCTCACCAAGTTTTACAATCATATAATAAAATACCTGCCATAGACTTCTGAAAAAATGTAGATCGATAGAATCAAACACAATCAAGTAGAATGATGATGATAATAATAATAATAAATTGCGAAACTTGATTACATCTGATCCTATTTATCCACTGTTTCAAATGTCTATGACTAATATTTTATGTAATTGTAAAGCCTGGTGAGAATTTAGCGGAAATACACACCTAACTGCTTGAATCATGTTCTATAATCATGATTATAAAGAAAATTACATTAGTTTCGAAATTCGCTCAATGAGATCATAAGGTTAATTGTAATTTAAAAATGAATCAGTCCAACCCATATCATAGTCGCATAATCTGCTTTCAAACGGAAAACTACTAGCAGTATCAGTTGATATGCAGCATTGAAGAATATGCTTAGCAAGGCTCAGTACAACTCAACACAAGTAAATTTTCTAGAGCTATTTTTCCCAGCTTATTGCAAAACATTTGGGGATGCATCAAAATCAGCATTTCCCCAAAGGATCTCCAAGATCTTATATATGCCCCGAGATTTCTTCAGCGGTCGCGGAACTGACTATTAGGGGACGCCTACCACAAAAAACATCACTTCAAACAGTAGATGAGTGAATCAACACCGGATGACGGACCAGAAGTCAAAATGACTATGTACAGGAAAACTTACAAATAACCACACACATTCCCGGCTACACAGAATACAACTTGTTGTGTACACACTGCATTGAAACCAATAACTGCATAGATTGAACACTGACTGAACTCTCCTTCAAGGAAGATTGTAAACATGGGATTCACTCGCTTAATGTCGTTGACTATGGCCACACAGTATCATGCTTTCCTATCGAGCAGTCTACAATAGTAAATCAAAATGTCACTACAAATATCACAGCCATCTGGTTCGACAACAGTATCTCATCAAAAATCCGCTAGTAATGTTTCTGATGCAGATGATATCGATACGAAGCAAGACGGGGATGGGAACTGCACATGGAAGGAGACATT